CACCAGACCATAACGACCAACATTAAACCCAACCATTCGGACAACTTAAACCCAGACCAAACTGACAACCTTAATCCCAACCATTCTACAGAGCATAAACACAACCAGTCGGACAGAGCCTTAATCCCAGACCGTCGACAAGCATTAATCCCAGACCATACTGACAAGCATGTAAACCCAGACCAATTCTGAAAAGCAATAAACCCCACCATTCTGAAGAGCATTATACCCAACCATTCTGACAGGAGCATTAAACCCAGACCAGACTGACAGACCCTAAAACACAGACCATATGACAGACCTTAAACCCAGACCATCTGACAGACTTAAACCCAACCAGTCTGACAGAGCCTTAAACCCCGACCATTCTGACGAGCCTTAAAACCCAACCATTCTGACAAGCCTTAAACCCAACCATTCTAAGACATTAAACCCAGACCATTCTGACAACATGAAACCCAGATCCATACTGACAACTTATACCCATTCCATAACGGACAGAGCTTTAAACACGGCACAAACAACATATCTTTTTTAAAAAAACAAAGCTCGGATGACACGCAAATAAAAATTACCACAAAGAATTATTTGCACACAAAATAATAATATACACCATGTAGTATAGTCACATGTAACTATACTAACTCCATGGAACTAGTACTACAATTTGAATCGTACTATTACTACACATGGACGATACTAGACGACACATGGAATGTACTATACTATCATTAATTAACTATACTACAACATGGGACACGATACTAAACTCTTACTATACTAGTCTACACGGAATTAACGAACTACAACTTTACTATACTACACAAGGACTCGGTACTACTACACAGAACATTCGATACTAACATGAAGGTACTACTACTACACATTATAGTTTTACGACACATAACTATACTATACTACAAGGTAATGTACTATACTACACAGTTCGATACGATACTACAACAGTATTTAAGTATACTAACACATTACTTAAAAGTCTATAAGAACTCATGGACTGTACTATACTACTCTATGGTCTATACTAATACTTACACTTGTACTATACATACTACTATTAATGTACTATACTACACATTTCGTACTATCGACAAATGGATTGTACGATACACACATGACTAACTATACTACACATTACAAGAATTTATACACACAGGTACTAGAATACACATGACGAGACTTGAAAACACATGTAACGATACTTCTACACAGTACTAATGACGATACACACATGTCTTTCTATACTTCACATGTACTATACTACACAAGGTCCGGCCTGAAAGCCAACCTGAGGTGTTCCTGGCAATCACTGCCCCCCATCAGAATGATCTTTAGGTTATGGTTTTTTGGCTTCGTCATTGCCCCAGGCAGCGTGCTACATATTTATCACCTTGTGTTGAAAAGAAATTGATAAAACTTTGTCGTCGTAATGCTCTTGTAAACTACAGAAATAAAATGCGTTTCGTGGTCGTCATAAAACCAACAGTTTATCTATTCCATTCCTCCCCATGGCCCTCCTACCCCCACACCGAACCCATAGCATACGACCTTACCTGGACGACATTTTGGTCCGTGGGTTTTATCTCTAACCCAGAACTCCATTGGCTGCCATGTCAGATGTTACCTTTCGCTTCTCATATAAGGTCCTGATTCAATCCTGTACGACCATCTGTTCTGAGTGATTTTGGGCATTTCTCCCCCGTGACTTGCGTAGTTTCCCTCCATCTCCGTTCCCCTACACAAAAACATTATCAATAGCTTGCCCCTGTATACTGGCCCCCCCAAACCTACTGTGTAGTGAACAGACTCATGTAACAGCTGGAAATAGTGCTGTAATCTTCGAGAAGGCCTACTAAAAAAACATACTTACGCCATTCCTCTCTCTGAAAGCCGACAAAAATAAACATGACTACTCCCATGCCACGCTCTAAATGCCTACAGAATGAAACAGACTTACCTCCATGTCCACAGCTCTCCGATATTTGCGGTCTTTGAAATCCTCTTTGTTTGCCGCGTCTTGCAAACCAGAACATTTGCATATAACAACGATTCTCTGCTTTTTGGAACAAATAAAATCACAATTTAGCACTGATACATTGATTATAAACTCACTCTCTTCTAACTCACACCTCGTTCAACACACACACACATCATTCCTTTAATTACTAACAAAACTAAAACCTGCTGTGAAGTGGCTGTTAGTTTTGCCGGTGTGTTGTCCACAGTTGTCTTTCTCACATGTGTTGTTTCGCACTTGGTGGCTTCCACTTGTGTTTTCTCACATTGTTTTCTCGACAGTGTGTGTTTCTCACAGTTTGCGTTCGCAACCGTTTGGTGCTCACATTTGCGTGCTCACTGTGTTGTTCTCACGTTTGTGTTTCTCACTTTGTTTTCTCACAGTTGGCGCTCACAGTGTTGTTCTCACATTGTGCTTCCAAAATTTTTGTTCGCACAGTGTGTTTCGCACAGTTGTGTTTTCCAACAGTTGTGTGGTCGCACGTTGTTGGTCTCACATTGGCTATCTCTCTATGCGTCGCACAGTTGTTGTCGCACAGTGTGTTTCTCACAGTTTCTTTGCCCCCTCCTTTTTCTCCACAGTTGGGTGCGTTCTCAACAAACCGCCTCTTTTAAGAGCCTCACTTTTACCCCATTTCCTTCCTTCTTTGCCCGCAGTGATGGATTCTTCCAAAATTGCCTGTGAATTTTCATCATGCACTCCACCTACAACACTACACACACCACACCAAACACACACTCACCCAGACACTACACACACACACCATACACACACAAGTCACACAACAAACTACACACACACACCCCAAACGTACACACACAACACACAACACACACACTACACACACACACACACACAACTTCACACAGACCACTCACAACACACACACCTCAACACACACACACACACACAGACACACACCCACACTCAC